TTTCTTTCTTTCTTTCTTTCTTTCTTTCTTTCTTTCTTTCTTTCTTTTTTCTTTCTTTCTTTCTTTCTTTCTTTCTTTTTGTTTTTGCTTTAATGGTATTTATTGTGTTTAAAATCACGAGCCGCATGGTGTCCTGGTGGTGGAAGATGCTTGCCTCTCACTTGCCAGGTTGAGAGTTCAATCCTACGTAACAGCAGATATTTTTCTCCTTCTGGGTTCAAAGAGAAAATATCTGCTGTGAGCTCTGCATAAGCATCAGAAAGGGCATTCAGCCAGTAAATACTCAGCTCAGTCACCCAGATACTCAGTCACCCAGATACTACCCTGAATTAAGGGATTATAGGATTGTAAAAAGGGAGTGTTGTATTTAAAACCATAGAGTTAGAACACTCTAAGTTTAGAGGTGTAAGCCCACTACCTGACCCACCCTCCCAACTAATATAGGAATCCAGAGTAGAGCACTCTGGACCGATGGACGTCCAGCCTCTCCTTGTACTGATCGCCCTTAACCCAAAGTGCCACCATGTCTTCTCTGGTTGGCTGGACCCCATCAGAGGAAATGTGCCTAGGAAGAAGTTTTCCCCAACCGTGGCAACTTTAGGATGTGTGCACTTCAACTCCCAGAATTCCCCAGCTTTCCAAGGAATTCTGGGAGTTGAAGTCCACAGGTCTTAAAGGTTGCCAAAGTTGGGAGAACCTGCTCTAAAGGAAAAGAAACAGCAGATACTTCTGCCAAAGCTAAAAGCTTTATAAACCCTTCTCAAGTGATGCTTCACCCCATTGGTCATTCATCGAAAGTTGACAGTCATTCTTTCCAATGGATCTTGCTGAATCAGGCCCAAAGTCCATAATATCTAGCTGGTATCCTGTATTTAACCATCCTAGGCATGGCTTTTTAAAAGAATTGTTTTTCTTCACTGTTTCACATGCAGCTAAAGTTATCAGCAAATGGTCTTCCATTTTTGTTTTATTCCTGAAGTGATAAAAAGGCCACAGGAAGTTCAAAATTCATGGAATCATTGTCTGCCTGTATTCTTCACAGTCTTCCTGTGGCAGACGAAAGACTTGAGTTAATTTGTGAGTCAACAGGCTACCTTTCACATTTAGTAAAACTTCCCGTTGTGGTTGTACATGCACACATATGGGAGTATCTATCGCTTTTTGGAAGGGACAGTAGTATCAAATAAAAAAGGTACAGAATACACCTCTTTCTTATGTCACAGGTAGTCCTCAACTACAACCATTGGTTTAGCGACTATTCAAAATGAAAATGGCTCTGGAAAAAAAGGGACTTATGATTGGTCCTCACACGTACGACCTTGGCCGTCACAGAATCAAAATCTGGGTGTTTGACAACCAGCATGAATTTAGGAGTGTTGCAATTTGCCAGAATGACTTGCCAGAATGACGCAATATTTGTGACTTTCTCAATGGCTACAGCCATGGCAACAAAGGTTATAAAATTGGGTTTGGCTCATTTAACAACCGCCTTGCTTAGCAGTGGAAATTCTGGTCCTGATTGTGGTCATAAGTTGAGGACTACCTATCTAATAGGAAACCCTTTTCCCTACAGTCGTTCTTCTGATTTATTGGATCCATGGAGACAGCAGTAAATTCTTTATTTTCCTGCCGTGAACAGTGGAGTTTGCTTCCCATTGATTCTCAGCTACAACATTAAATCCCAACTTTTACCTCAAAATATCTGGGATCTTCCCTGCTTTACCTCAGTGGGAATGAAGAGATTGATGAGCTTTAAAAATCCAAATTGAGCAATGTCCTTTTTACTAAATATATTCAGCAGTTCTGGTGGCACAGCGGTTAGAATGCAGTATTGCAGGCAAACTCTCCCCAGTCTGGAGTTCAATCTTGACGGGGCTTTAAGGTTGACTCGGCCTTCCATCCTTCTGAGGTCAGTAAAATGAGGACCCCAGATTGTTTGGGGTGATATGCTGACTCATGTAAACCGCTCAGAGGGGGCCATAAAACATTATGAAGTGGTATATAAGTCTAAATGCTGTTGCTGTTGCTATATTTGTAACTGCTGCTTATTCTTCATATTTAACACCTAGAGCAATTGCATACTTTCTATTTACCAAGCATGTTAAGAAATCTAGGGGGAAAAAAGGGAGAAAGTCTGTAAGAAAGCACTATAACTTTGGAATCACCTCACAACCATTTCTCCCAAATGGAGGGACAGATCGACTCTATATTCCAGAATTTATCTAAATACTAAATTAAGATCTGTGGCGCTAATCTTGCTCGCTCTGAATTTTGATAAGGAAACGAATGGGTTTGAATACTGAGGCCACCCTCAAAGAAATAGTCGATTTCCAGCTCCTTTGAGGAAAACCTTTGAAGGCCGAAAAATTGGCCTGTTTTGTCACTTCCTGTATTTCTGGAAATACAGGAAGTGACAAAACAGGCTAATTTTCCGGCCTGCAAAGCCTGCAGAAGTTTTCCTCCAGCCTCTGGGAAGCCAAAAAA